CTATTCTATTCTACTCTACTCTACTCTACTCTACTCTACTCTACTCTACTCTACTCTACTCTACTCTACTCTACTCTACTCTACTCTACTCTACCCTTTCATCTATCAACCCCCGAAACCTGGGTTCTTTATAACTCGGTTCAACATTTCTCAACGTAAAAAGGTGTTAACCCTTCAAATCCACGCAGACATCACCAACGTTGACTTACATGGTGTGGGTGCTACCGCTGGGCACTGTGAAGAGCACTTCATATCCAAACTCTTCACGAAAAACGTCAGGTTGGCCACCCTGTTGTCAACGTAATTTTCCACATTGTTCATGTTGACCAGGTTCATCTTCTCCAGCCGGCCGTGCAGAGTATGGATCTGGTTCTTGGCATTCTTCAGGTTCTCGGACAGCTTGTTCACCTTATCCTGCAGGTCCGTGACTCGGTTGTCTTGCACGGCGCTCTGGTTGGCGGGGCCGTCCGGCAGAAAGTCGTTGGAATTGTCCTTCTCTCGGTTGTCATCTGCCTGGAGTTTACAATCCTGGCAGGATTTCTTCAGCGTGTTGACCATCTCCTTGAGGACCTCCACTTCCTTGAGGGTCTTCTCCATCAGTTGGAAGTGCTTAGGCAGCTGGATGGTCAGAGGAGGAAAATTCACCTGGTAGGGACATTCCTCTCCATCGCATTTCCCGCTGCTTTGGAGGGCGAGAGGGCAAGCTGGAGATACCTTATCTCCTCCTCCTCTTTCTTCATCTCCTCTTCCTGCCTGCTCTTCCGATAGAACGAACCTGTTTGCAAACAGCAGAGCTATTGCCTGCAACAAGACCCCGCCGGAGAGCTTCATCTTGTCTGAGATTGTAGCCTCTCAGTGAGGAAGTGCGCGTAGCTCCAGAAACTTATATACAGGGCAGCCCGGTGGTGCTTGCGAGTTATCGCAGTTCTCAGAAAAGGGTGGGTGTATATCTTGCATCACAAGCTGAGAGTGATATTAATAGCAGCACAGAGTAGTGAAGAGAGAGAGAGAGAGAGAGAGAGAGACAGGGAAATCACCCAAACTCTCATGCTGTTCAGCTTTTGTCCACGTAAGCAATATTCATCAGGATACACACAGATGTAGATCATAAGATTTCCCCCCCCCCTCCAACCCCACCCCCCCCCTTCCCTTCTCACTCATATTTTAATCTGGATTTGATTGCTCTTCTTTGGGGCAAATCAAAACAGCCTGGATTTCTTCTTTAGGAGTCATTGATGTTAAACCAGGAGGAGAAGAAAAAAAAAATCTCTTTTTTCT